CAATAAAAGAAAACTTCAGCCCAATATCCATGATGAACATAGATGCAAAAATATTCAATAAAATACAGGCAAACTCATTGCAACAGAACATCAAAAAGCTTATTCATCACGATCAAGTAGGATTCTTCCCAGGGATTCAAGCCTGGTTCAACATACACAAGTCTATAAACGTAACCCACCACATAAACAGAACCAAAGACAAAATCCACATGATTATCTCAATAGATGCTGAGAAGGCCTTTGACAAACTTCAACAGCCCTTTATGCTAAAAACTCTAAATAAACTAGGTATCAATGGAATGTATCTCAAATAATAAAAGCTGTTTATGACAAACCTATAGACAATATTATACTGAAAGGGCAAAAAGTGGAGGCATTCCCTTTGAAATCTGGCACTAGACAAGGATGCCCTCTCTCACCACTCCTATTCAATATAGTATTGGAAGTTCTAGCCAGAGCAATCAGGCAAGAAAAAGCGACAAAGGGTATTCAATTAGGAAAGGAGGAACTCAAATTGTCTCTGTTTGCAGAGGACATGATTGTGTATTTAGAAGACCCCATCGTCTCAGCCCGAAATCTCCTGAAACTGATAAGCAACTTCAGCAAAGTCTCGGGATACAAAATCAATGTGCAAAAATCACAAGCATTCCTATACACCAATAACAGACTTAAAGAGAGCCAAATCAAGAATGAACTGCCATTCACAATTGCTACAAAGAGAATAAAATACCTAGGAATACAACTAACAAGGAGTGTAAAGAACCTCTTCAAGGAGAACTACAAACCACTGCTCAATGAAATAAGAGAGGACACAAACAGATGGAGAAATATTCCATGCTCATGGTTTGGAAGAATCAATATTGTAAAAATGGCCATATTGCCCAAAGTAATTTACAGACTCAACACTATCCCCATCAAGCTACCAATGACCTTCTTCACAGAACTGGAAAAAAAAACACCTTAAACTTCATATAGAACCAAAAGAGAGCCCGCATAGCCAAGTCAATTCTAAGCAAAAAGAACAAAGTGGGAGCCATCACACTACCAGACTTCAAACTATACTACAAGGCTACAGTAATCAAAACAGCATGGTACTGGTACCAAAACAGAGATATAGACCAATGGAACAGAACAGAGGTCTCGGAGGCAACACCACACATCTACGACCACCTGATCTTTGACAAACCTGACAAAAACAAGCAATGGGGAAATTCCCTGTTTAATAAATAGTGTTGGGAAAACTGGCTAGCCATGTGCAGAAAGCAGAAACTGAACCCCTTCCTGACACCTTACACTAAAATTAACTCCAGATAGATTAAAGACTTAAACATAAGACCTAACACCATAAAACCTCTAGAAGAAAATCTAGGCAAAACCATTCAGGACATAGGCACAGGCAAGGACTTCATGACCAAAACACTGAAAGCATTGGCAACAAAAGCCAAAACAGACAAATAGGATCTAATTAAACTCCACAGCTACTGCACAGCAAAAGAAACAGTCATTAGAGTGAATCGGCAACCAACAGAATCAGAAAAAAGTTTTGCAATCTATCCATCTGACAAAGGGCTGATATCCAGAATCTACAAAGAACTAAAGCACATTTACAAGAAAAAAACAAACCCATTCAAAAGTGGGCGAAGGATGTGAACACACACTTTTCAAAAGAAGACATTTATGAGGCCAACAAACATATGAGAAAATGCTCATCATCACTGGTCATTAGAGAAATGCAAATCAAAACCACATTGAGATACCATCTCATGCCAGTTAGAACAGCGATCATTAAAAGATCTGGAGACAACAGATGCTGGAGAGGATGTAGAGAAATAGGAACACTTTTACACTGTTGGTGGGAGTGTAAATTAGTTCAACCACTGTGGAAGACAGTGTGGTGATTCCTCAAGGACCTAGAAATAGAAATTCCATTTGACCCAGGAATCCCATTAGTGGGTATATATCCAAAGGGTTATAAATCATTCTATTATAAAGACACATGTACACATATATTCATTGAGGCACTGTTCACAATAGCAAAGACCTGGAACCAAACCAAATGCCCATCAATGATAGACTGGACAAGGAAAATGTGGCACATACACACCATGGAATACTATGCAGCCATAAAAAACGAAGAGTTTGCATCCTTTGTAGGGACATGAATGAATCTGGAAACCATCATTCTCAGCAAACTGACACAAGAACAGGAAAGCAAACACCACATGTTCTCACTCATAGGCAGGTGTTGAACAATGAGAACACATGGACACAGGGAGGGGACACTACACACTGAGGTCTGTTGGGGGGGAATAGAGGAGGGACAGCGGGGGGATAGGGAGGTTGGGGAGAGATAACATGGGGAGAAATGTCAGATATAGGTGATGGGGGGATGGAGGCAGCAAACCACATTGCCATTGTATGTACCTATGCAACAATCCTGTATGTTCTGCACATGTACCCCAGAAACTAAAGTGCAATAATATATGTGTGTATATATATATATACATATATAAAATAATAATAATATTAATTTCTTCATCTTCCTAAGGAATCATCAAGCATGAATCCTCTGGCTGATGATAAGAACTTTCTGTTTGCCCTGGAAGGTCTCTTTGACCCCCAATCTGCCGCCTACAGCCTCTTTAGCAAATTTCTCTCTTAGCACCCACTCCCTGCTCTTTCACAACCTTGATCCAGTTTCACTGAATTGCTCACCATGCCCCAAATATTCTGTGTTCTCACGTGCTCCTGTGCACAAACTGCAAGGATGATGTCAGATAACACAAGTGAAAGCACCTAGCTGCTTTAAGTAAATGCTTGTTGACTTTTACCTCAAGCTAGTTAAGCTAAGTAGTTCTACAATGTTAGCCTGACGCAAAACCAGCTGGAAAACTTGTTATAGCACAGATTGTTGTCACTCACCCACCACATTTTCTGATTCAATAGTTCTGAGATGGGCCTGAGAATGTGCATTTCTTTCTTTCTTTTTTTTTTTTTTTTTTTTTTTTTCAGAGACAGAGTCTCACTATGTTGCCCAGGCTGGAGTGCAGTGGCTATTCACAGGTGTGATCCCAATACCAATCAGCACGGGAGTTTTGACCTGCTCCATTTCTGACCTGGGCCGGTTTACCCCTCCTTAGGCAACCTGGTGGTCCCCCACTCCCAGGAGGTCACCATATTGATGCCGAACTTAGTGCAAACACCCAATCAGCATAGCGCACTACAGCCCAGAACTCCTGGGCTCAAGCCTCCCACTTCAGCCTCCCAGGTAGCTGGGAATACAAGCACATGCCACTGTGCCTGGCGAGAATGTGCATTTCTAACAAATTCCAAGGTGATGCTGATGCCATGGGTCTGGAAACCACACTTTGGGAATCAGTGAACTAGACAATCCATGTAGCTTCTCTAATGATCTCTGATTCCTCAATGCCTTTAATAGAGAGCAAATGAACAAAATGAACTTTTATCTTTATCTCTATATAAATTAATATTTGACATTATCATGAAGGGAAATATGGACTAAGACCTCAGATGGACAGTGTACAGAAAAGAGCACATACTTTAGAATCAGAAGATCTTGTTGAAATCCCAATTTATAGCAGGGTTGTTGACCTAAGTCAAGTTAATTAATCTCTGAGTTTCTTATTCTGCAAAATAGGAGTGTATTAAAGTAGTACCTACCTCATAGTGTTAATTGTGAGATAATATATGGGAAATAATTTGTAAAAAGAAAAGTACTATATATAGACTGCCCCAGTAAGATATACACATGATGTATTAATGAACATTTAACACGTAGCATAGAACAATAACAAATAATACGTGTTCTGTCTGGGCATGGTAGCTCATGCCTGTAATCCCAGCACTGTGGGAGACCAACACAGGTAGGTCGCCTGAGGTCTGGAGTTCAACACCAGCCTGGCCAACATGGTGAAACTCTGTCTCTACTAAAAATACAAAAATTAGCCAGGCATGGTGGTGGGCACCTGTAGTCCCAGCTACTCAGGAGGCTGAGGCAGAAGAATTGCTTGAATCCTGGAGGCAGAGGTTGCAGTGAGCTAAGACCATGCCACTGCACTCCAGTCTGGGGGACAGAGCAAGACTCTGTCAAAAAAAAAAGATCCTCAGCCCCAGTCTATGTTTCAGATGATTGCAACCCAGGCCAACATCTGGCTACACCTCGTGAGAGGCCCCAAGCCACTCCCAAATGTTTGATCCATAGAAACTATGAGATAATGAATTATTATTGTTGTTTAACACTACCAACTTATTTATTTATTTATTTGTTTTTGAGATGAAGTCTCATTCCATTGTCCAGGCTGGAGTGCAGTGGCATGATCATGGCTCATTGCAGCCTCAATCTCCTGGACTCAAGCAATGCTTCCACATCAGCCTCCCAAGTAACTGGGTCTACAGGTGCATACCACCATGTCCAGCTAATTTGTTTTATTTTTTTGTAGAGATGAGGTCTCACATTGTCACCCAGTCTGGTACCACGAATTTAAAAAGTGATTTGTTATACAACAATAGATAACCAATATCTATTGGTTAACATTTATTGTGCATTTACTATGTTCTAGAAACTAAGCCAAGGATCTAATGACCCAACAGCCTTATGATGTAGATGCTATTACAATCTCCAAAGAAGAAAGGGTGGCCCAGAGAAGTTAAGCAATTCAGTCAAGTTCCATGGTTACTAAGTGGCAGAAGCAGAATTTGAACCCAAGTCTCTAACTCCAAATCCCAGTTTCTTGGTCACTCATTTAGACATGCCAACATAAAACCTCTTGAAAAATTAAACAACAGAAGCAACTGAACCCCTGAAAGAGAGCAAACTTGTATAAAGCTAGCAGAAGGTAACCCAGGGGCCACACCTGAAAGAGCATTAATGCCTGATGCTATAAGGCCCAGAGGTTCCAAGCTGGCCCTACCTCTTAGCCCTTGTACTGACAGACCAGCCCCCTCTCAGGAAAATCCTCCCCAAGATTCCTGGGACTCACCCAGATCTGTAGTTTCACTCGCTTCTCATGACGGTAGACGGTCTTCACCTTGAAGTCGATGCCCACAGTGCTAACGAAGGCTGGGGTGAATGTGTCATCAGCATAGCGGAAGAGGAAGGAGGTCTTGCCAACACTGCTGTTGCCAATGATAAGCAGCTTAAACATGTAGTCAAAATTCTGGTCAGAGGCATCTTTGACTCCAGTTTTACCATCCGTCACTGAAGCCATCTGCAGGAGAGACCTAGGGTCACCCAGGAACAGACCTCCAGAGTCATCTTGAGTCACCAACCTTCTAATGGTCACCCCACCATTCATACACTCACTCCTTACCCCAGCATCACTGAGGAAATCCACACTACTCAGAATCCCCCATCACTCACCTGCCCCAAATGTTGTTTCAGCACTGGGGTAGAACCCAGCTCCTTCCATTCATTCTTTCAGCAAATATTTACTGAGCACATTGATCTGGGGCAAGCCCTATGCTGGGCCTGGGGCTTATGAGTCAGACATGGTACCTGACCTCTGCCAAGAACAGCAAACACATGCACATTCTAGGAAAGACCCAGTATAGGGCTATCACTCTCTTGCTTTAAAAACTTTTATGACTCAAGAGGCTGAGGTAGGAGGATCACTTGAGCCCAGGAGTTCGATGCTGCAGGGAGCCATGATCATGCCACTGAATGCCAGCCTGGGCAGCAGAGCAACATCTCACCTCTAAAAAATTAAATAAATAAAATAAAAGATAGAAACTATTATGGCTTTTTAAAAAATAGAAACTATTAAGTCCAAACTGTTCAACTTGACAAATAACCAACTAACCAAAGAGCCAATGCTCTAAGCTTTATCTTCCCATACTCCTTCTCTTCACCAACCTGTGCTTCCCCTAGATCTAATGAAACACTTTATGCCAAATAAGCCACATTATTGCTTGCCTTTGTTCCTTTATATATGTATTCCTTCTGCCTAGAATTCTCTTTTCCTCCTAACAAACTCCTACTCATCCTCAGAAGCCAAGGTCAAGTGCCAGCTTCCCTGTGCATGGCAGAGGCAGGTATTTCTGCTCCTATGCTTCCAGAACACTGGAACAGCCCTTGTATCATTTCAGCACTGTTGGACTGAGCATCTGGGGCTTAATGGACTTCATTCCTATATGTCTGGCTTCCAGCATGAATCCTAGCCTATAGCAAGCACTCAGTAAATGTGTGCTGAATTAATCACAGTCACTTCATCACTCTGAGTCTCAATCTCCTTATCTGGAAAATGGCGAGAACAATTTCTGCCCTGCTCTTTTCACAGAGCTATCACAGGATTCAAATGAGCTAACAATGGATGAGTCCGGACACGGTGGCTCACACCTGTAATCCCAGCACTTTGAGAGGCGGAGGTGCAAGGATCATGAGATCAGGAGTTCAAGACCAGCTTGGCCAAGATGTTGAAACCCCGTCTCTACTAAAAATACAAAAACTAGCTGGGTGCGGTGGCACATGCCTGTAATCCCAGCTACTCAGGAGAGACTGAGGCAAAAGAATCACTTGAACCTGGGAGGCGGAGGTTGCAGTGAGCAGAGATCACGCCATTGCACTCCAGCCTGGGTGACAGAGTGAGACTCCATCTCAAAAAAAAAAAATAAAAAAGAAAAGAAACAGAAAGAGATAACAATGGATGAAACCATTATCAACTGGTAAATTCCAGACAGGGATGAACATATGTCCTTATTCCAAAGCCTTCAAAGCCTAGGTCCTTTATTTGTTCACTCATTCATCCATTCAGCAAATATTTAATACAGGCCAGGCCTTTCCTGAGACCCCAGACTTTCGGTTCTGTCACCATCTTCTTTGCTAGAACACCTAAATCTGAACTCCAGAATTCAGCACTTGGTCACATGGTCTTATTTGCATCTTTAATTGCTTCTCCGAAGCCTTGGAAGCCTCAGGTACCCTACTTTTCCCCCTGTTAATCTCCCCTTGTGCTCAGCACAAGGGTACTCCGATGGCTGGATGAGCAGTCAGAGGAGGGTGGGAGGACAGCATTCAAGTGTGATGGTGTCGGGGTTTTCAGTCTTTTTAGGAATTTCTGCTTTTTTCCCCAGAGGAAACAAAAGATCATGAGACTGGTGGATGTGGTTCTTTGGGCCTCTCAGGTGAGCTGTAAGGATAAGGAGCTGATAAAAGTAGGTTTAAAGCTCTCTTGAAGAAAAGTTAGACAAATATGTAAGATTGTTAGCAGCCTTTTAATAAAAGTTCCTTGCGTATGTCACCACTGGATTCCTGTGGTCTCTGTTCTTCCTTCCCTTTGCTCCCAGCTCTCAAGCCTTATCTGACACTTTCAGCTCCATCCCTGTATCATCTCTCCCATGACGAGACTCACTAGGCAAGTTTGGAACATGCCTAGGACAGTTGGAGACCAAGGAATAGCACTTACATGGAGGAAGAAAGTGAGTTTGGAAGGGAGGGTGCCATTGCCTGCTTAAACTGTCTCACAGTCTTAATTTTTCAGCTTTTCATGGTACTAGGTGCAAAGCCTATTGCAAGAACTTGCCATGCAAAGGCATTTTTCTTTTTTTTTTTTTTTTTTTTGTGATACAGAGTCTCGCTCTTTCATCCAGGCTGGAGTGAAGTGTTGCAGTCTCACCTCACTGCAACCTCTGCCCCCAGGTTCAAGCAATTCTCCTGTCTTAGCCTCCCAAGTAGCTGGGATTACAGGCACCCGCCATCAAGCCTGGTTAATTTTTGTATTTTACTAGAGATGGGGTTTTGCCATGTTGGCGAGGCTGGTCTTCAACTCCTGACCTCAGGTGATCCACCTGCCTCAGCCTCCCAAAGTGCTAGGATTACAGGCGTGAGCCACCACACCTGGCCACATTATGCTTTTTCTACATTAAAACAAGAAAGCAACCACAACTTCACACCATCCCTCACTCTGCTGCTAGTCATCTTTCTTTGTTTACAGGAGAAAATTTCTACTATGAATGTATTCATTATAAAAAATTTGAAAATTATATTATACAAAAGTATAAAAAAGAGAATTTAAAATTAACTGACATCCTGCCCACTCAGAAACTATGAATGTTAACATTTTAGTGTATTTTCTCCAATATTTTTTCATATAAAAGAGTGCCACCTAAGGCCAGGTGCAGTGGCTCACACCTGCAGTCCCAGCACTTTGGGAGGCCAAAGTGGGAGGATGGCTTGAGGCCAGGAGTTCAAGACCAGCCTGGGGAACATAGGGAGACTACCCCCTTTCTACAAAAAGTAAAAAATTAGCCAAGTGTGGTGGCACACATCTATAATCCCAGATGCTTAGGAGGCTGAAGCAGGAGGATTATTCGAGCCCAGAAATTTGAAGCTGCAGTGAGCCATGATTGTGCCACTGCACCCCAGCTTGCACAACAGAGCAAGACTGTCTCTACCAAAAAAAAAGTACCATCTCATCTATTTTAATATATTTTATTTGTTAATTTAAAAGTTAATACATACTTATGGAAAATAATTCAAGTATATACTATTTGCAAGTATTACTTTGCATTATTTTATTTTTTTTTTTGAGACAGGGTCTCACTCTGTCACCCAGGTTGGAATGCACTGGCGCTATCTTGGCTCACTGCAGTCTTGACCTCCTGGGCTCAAGTGATTCTCCTGCTTCATCCTCCCGAGTAGCTGGGACTAAAGGCATATGCCGTCATGCCCAGCTAATTTTTGTATTTTTTTGTAGAGATGGGGTTTCACCATGTCGTCCAGGCCGGTCTCAAACCAGGACCAAGTGATCTGCCCTCCTTAGCCTCCCAAAGTGCTAGGATTATAAACGAGAGCCACCAGACCCAGCTACATTATTTTCTTAATCCCTAGCATAAAATACAAGTAATATGAAACCTAAATGTTTACACTGAAAAGTAAGTCTTGCTTCCATCTGATTCCTAATCTAGTTCCCCTCCCCAGATGCAAACATGTTATCAATTTATATATCCTTCAGAGATAGCCTTTGCATATATAAACAAAGAGATCTATTTATAATTTTTATTTATGTATAAATAACACACCATGAATTCTAGCATATTGTAATAGCTGACATCATATGCACAGAAGGTATAGACTAGAATATATGGTATGTTATCATTTAGCAAAAGCACTTAACTTTTAAAAGTACAATCATGCACTGCATAACAATGCTTCAGTCAGTGGTGGACCACATGTACAATGGTGGTCCCATAAGATTATAAGGAAGCTGAAAAATTTCTATTGCCTAGTGACATAGTAGCCATGGTAACATTGTAGCACAACACATTGCTCACTTGTTTGTGTTGATGCTGGTGTAAACAAACCTACTACACTGCCAGTTGTATAAAAGTATAGCACATATGATTATGTGTAACACATAATACTTGATATTGATAATATGACTATGTTACTGGTTTCTGCATTTACTTACTATACTTTTTTTTTTATTGCATTTTAGGTTTTGGGGTATATGTGCAGAGCATGCAATACAGTTGCATAGGTACACACATGGCAGTGTGTTTTGTTTGCTTTCTCCCCTTCACCCACATTTGGCATTTCTCCCCAGGCTATCCCTCCCCACCTCCCCCTCCCGCTGGCCCTCCCCTTTTCCCCCCAATAGACCCCAGTGTTTAGTACTCCCCCTTACTATACTTTTTATTGTTATTTTAGAGTGTACTTTTTCGACTTAATTTTTTTTTTAAGTTAACAGTAAAACAGCCTCAGGCAGGTCCTTCACGAGGTATTCCAGGAGAAGATATTGCCATAAGAGATGACAGCTCCATACCTATTATTGCCCCTGAGGACCTTCCAGTGGGAAAAGATGAGGAAATGGAAGGCAGTGATATTGATGCTCCTGGATCCTGTGTAGGCCTAGGCTCATGTATGTATTTGTGTCTTTTCAATAAAAAAATTGTAAACATAAATTTAAAAAAACAAGGAAGAAAATAAAGAAAAGGCCAGGCTCAGTGGCTTACTCCTGTAATCCCAACACTTTGGGAGGCCACGGTGGGAGGATCACTTCAGCCAAGGAGTTCAAGGATGCAGTGAACCATGATTGCACCACTGAATTTCAACCCAGCTGACATAGTGAGCCTTTATCTTAAAAAAAAGGCCATACAATGTATTTGTGCTTTAAGCTAAGTGTTATTTTTATAAAAGAGTATATGGCTGGGCACGTTGGCTCAGGCCTTTAATCCCAGACTTTGGGAGGCCAAGGCAGGTGGATCACTTGAG